TCTCCCTGCACCTCCAGAAAGGCCTTCAGGATGCAGGCCACCCGGTTGTCACCTACTTCCCAAGACGTGGCCCCAGACATAGGATAAGCACCTGGAGAAAGCTGGCACAGGCACAGACGTCCCCGTGGCCTGGTCACCACTCTGTGTCTGCCTCCTGGATCATTGAGACACCATAACTTCACCTACAAACCTGGCTTTGGACGGGCTAGGAAGGCACAATGGCCCCTGACAGAGCAACCTCGCTCCCGTGGGGAGGCTCCTTCTGCGAAGAAGTGGGCAACACTTCAGTTCCTCTGAGAAGCCGTTCACTAGCCCACCACTGCCACACACCCTCTTTCACCTGATCTGTGATCTAGGGCCACCTTGGCCTGGATGTCATCACCACAGGAGCCAGGCGCCAAGCCCACAGCCATTGTCACCAACGTCTCAAGGCTTTACCAATGGGAAGGGGTGGCATCTTCTTGGGTGCCCCAGTGCCAGCTCCTACCAGGGACCCTCTTTCACAAGTTTGGGTCCCTGGAGGCAGCCTTGGTCACTCCCACCCCACCAATGTCCAGTAGAGAACAGCAACATTCATGGTACGAGAGGGTTGGCCCAAACAGGACACTGGGCTGTACCAGCTATCTTGGACATAAACGAGAGCAGAAGACCTAGTGACCTGGGGTGACGGAGGCTGGGAGGGGACAGGGAGGAAGTAGACGGAAACTACCTCAGTCAAAGCCGCGTCACTCTTAGAGACCCAGAGACCCTTCACCTGAGCTATCACCGGCAGCTCCATAGGTCTGGACAGAGAAACCAGGTTGGGGCAGAGGTTAGCCTGAGGGTCCCACAGACCACAGCACCAGGGGTACAGGCCTTGTTTCCTGGCCAGCTGGGTACTTGGGGGAGAAAGGGGTGGGCTGGCAGGAGCAAGCGCCCAGAGAAGGTGCCGGGCCTGAGCTTTAGCTGTGCTGGGTGGGTCAGTGAGCTGGGTACCGTGAGGGAGGGTGACTGGCTCAGCAGCTGTGACCCTCTGTGGGCTGAGGGACACCCTGGCATCCCCCACACCACGCTGGCATCCCATCACAGAGAGACAGAACATGCACCTCAGGTAAGGGGACACTGCCGCTGGGCATGTTATGTCAGTCACAAGCAGCTCAGGCAGAAGCCACTGGTGTCAACCAAAGGAGAAACAGGGTGGCATGGGGTCCGCATTGCAGAGCAGGAGGCAAGGGGCTCTGACAGAGGCTCCAGAAGCCTGGCCCCCAAGACACTGCAGGCACACCAGGCCAGGTTCAGATGGGCGTGTGCTGCCTGGGCTCTGGTTCCACTCACAAGGAGCCTAGGACATCAGCAAAGACAGGAGCAAGGGGCTGGGCTGGGCTGGGCTGGGCTGAGCTGAGTGGGGCCAGGTGGGGGCTGGGAGGGGTCGGATGGGGCCGGGTTAGGCTGAGTGCTGGGGGCTGAGCATCACTTCAGGAAATGAAATAGCAGAACAGGGGATGGTGGGTCACCTCCAAAGGCCCTAGGCTGCCCCCCAGAATCCTCCTCCAATAAGGCCATGTGCCTGCTCCTGCCCCAGGGTGCGGCCTGGGCAATGATAGTTCAGCTGGTCCCTGGGTCCAAGGCCCTTGGCCCTGTGTTGAGCACAGCAGCTGTGGGTCCCATCAGCGGTGCAAGAAGGGTCCACAGTGAGCTACCAGATGACTGGCTTTCAGCAGCCAGCACTGCCATCCAGCCGGGGGGGGGTAAATTGAGTAGGGGGGGCACAGCACCAGTTCCCACAGCAGGCCCTACCATGGGAGAGTCTCCACACTCCAGGCAGGACCCTATACCTCCTGTCCCAGTCTTGGGCTCACAGGCATCCAAGGGCCAGAGGAGAAAAGTTCCTGAGAAGAGGGGTGTGGAAAGCAGGCACAGTCCCAGAGTGTCCACCCTGCAGGCCCCAGGGGCTGCTCAGCTCACGACACACCCCCAGGAGCCCCAGTGCTATGTGGACTCACACCAACTGAGATGACAGTGGATGGGGACACGGCCACCTGTAGCAAAGCTGACACCACCCACACTCCGTCCACAACTGGGATCACCTGGCCCTAATGCCCAACTTCCAGCTGCTTTCTTTCCACATCCAACCATGTTCTCCCTCCTGCCCTGGCCCGACCCATGACCCCAGATACCGGTGTCCTCATGGCCAGGCCCTTCTCGACAGCCTGGCCTCTATTGCTCAGGTGCCCCGGCCACCACCGTGTCCTCAGGGCAAACCCTGAGGGTCCTGCTTGCTGTCCAGGGTGTGTCAGCTCAGCTTGCTATCCAGAGATAAGCAGAAAGGGGACACACTGGTTCTTCCCACCTTTCATGGCCAATAGAGTACTGGGGATGAGAAGGCTCAGCTCTCTGGTGGAAATGATGACCACTGGCTGGCCTGCACAGCCAGTTTGGTTAATCTGTATGCTCGGAGCCTTGGGTTTGGAAGACAGCACCATGACAGGGCTGCACTCCCTGGGAGAACACAGATGGCTGTCAGAAGGCAATGGACAACCACTGCCACCTGCCTGCAGGGAGATGGCTCAGCAGGGCGCAGAAGGTACAAGATAGGGGGCCACTGGCCCCTGGGGAAGAGTCCACAGTGGTCCAGTTCCCAGGCCACCACTGCAACACTGGTAGCAGCTGGCCCCAGAGCCCATCAGCCCACTATGAACAGAGCGGCCAACAGATGCATCCCTGTGGTAGAAGCAGATAAAGACAGAGCAAAGGCACCTCGCCAGGCCTGGGGCCCACCCAGCAATCAGGACGGATGCCAGGTGCACACCCAGCCAGTGACACTGACAGCGGCACGCTGAGTAGAAAAACAAGAATTTGGAATCCAGACAGACCAGATGAATGCTGACTTTCCTTCTAATTGGTTTTGAAAATAAAAACTTAGGGCTCGGCGCCTGTGGCTCAAGCGGCTAAGGCGCCAGCCACATACACCTAAGGTGGCGGGTTTGAATCCCCAGCCTGGGCCCGCCAAACAACAATGATGGCTGCAACCAAAAAATGGCCAGGCGTGGCGAGCGCCTGTAGTCCCAGCTACTTGGGAGGCTGAGGCAGGAGACTCGCTTGAGCCCAGGAGTTGGAGGTTGCTGTGAGCGTGATGCCATGGCACTCTACCCAGGGGGATAGCTTGAGGCTCTGTCTCAAAAAAAAAAAAAAAAGAAAAGAAAAACTTATTTTAGAGGCTGAGTGTGGTGGCTCCCATCTGTAATCCCAGCCCTCTGGGAGGCCAAGCAGGAGGATCCCTTCAAGTCAGGCTTTTGAGATCCACCTGAGCAAGACTCTGTGCATTGTGGCGCCTGTAGTCCCAGCTACTCAGGAGGATGAGGCAAAAGGACTGCTTGAACCCAGGAGTTTGAGGTTGCAGAGAGCTAAGGCACCACAGCACTCTACCCAGGGTGACAGACTCTGTCTCAAACAAACAAACACAAACAACTTCTTTTGGCAGAGAAAAAAAAAAAAAACATGCAGGTGTGAGCACTGCTGTTAGTCTGCATCCCCTGTGGACCACACCTGCCACCTTCCTAGCTCTGAGCCAGCCCAGAACTGCGGGAGGCACCAGTGCAGAGACTGCCTGGGAGGTACACACAGCATTGGGGGGGAGGAGATACTTCCTGTGACTGTGAGCAGGTCTAAGTGTCTATCACTCATGGAGTGTGGTCTTTAGGCCTCAGTATCCCTGACAAGGGGAAGTGATAGGTGGTCCTGGGCTGTGCTCCTCCAGATACCTCCTGGACCCTCACCCAGGTCCCTATGTGAAACCAAGCCTAGTACTTCAAAATCACAAAGGTCAGAGATAACAGCACTGAGCTGTGCCCTCCCCTCCCCTCCCCAGCAGCCTAAACCACCACCCACAAGCCGCAGGGGTCATGGGGCTCAGGCCCAGGGGTGGCAGCAGGGCCCGACCCATCAGCTCCACACTGCTGTCCTCACCTGGGACCAGGTGTGCAGGAGGCGTCCACATGCAGGCCCTTCCCCACTCGCAATCACTGCCTCTGTAGGTTCCTTTGTAGGTTCGCTCCAATTCTCGACAATGGGCGTGACCTGATGGTGGCAGCCTGGACATGCTCTTGTGCTGATTTGAGCAGCTGAGATGAATGATTCACCTCGGGGTTTTTTTGTTTTTGTTTTTTTTTTTGCAGCTTTTGGCCAGGACTGGGTTTGAACTCGCCACCTCTGGCATATGGGACTGGCGCCCTACTCCTTTGAGCCACAGGCACTGCTGATTCACCTCTTATTAAAAATTTCCAAATCAAGGCTCGGCGCCTGTAGCTCAAGTGGCTAAGGCACTGACCACAAACACCAAAGCTGGCAGGTTTGAACCCAGCCTGGGCCAGTTAAACAACAATTACAACTGCAACAAAAAAATAGATGGGCATTGTGACTACTTGGGAGGCTAAGGCAAGAGAATCGCTTAAGCCCAAAAGTTTTAGGTTGCTGTGAGCTGTGACACCATAGCACTCTACCAAGAGCAACATAGTGAGACTCTGTCTCAAAAAAAAAAAAAAAAAAAAAAAGAGGTTTGATGCCTGTAGCTCAAATGACTAAGGAATAAGGCGCCAGCCACATACATCAGAGTTGGCGGGTTCGAATGCAGTCCAGGCCTGCCAGACAGCAATGACAACTACAACCAAAAAATGGCTAGGCATTGTGGCAGGCACCTTTAGTCCCAGCTACTTAGGAGGCTGAGGCAAGAGAATCACTTAAGCCCAGAAATTGGAGGTTACTGTGAGCTGTGAGGCCACAGCACTCTACCAAGGGCGACAGCTTGAGACTCTGTCTCAAAAAAAAAAAAAAAAAAAATCCCAAATCACACAACAGGCTATGAAACCACAAACCCTGGTGGGCCCTGAGGGGACAGGACTCTTCGGTGGGGCCTGTTCCCACCAAGGCCACACCGGCTTCGCACAGGGTATGCTCACTGGGCTTTTATTTTTAGCAGTCCAACTTACTGATACTTACAAATGAAGGCGAGTGAGCTGTTCTCAGTAACATTTTATTTATGTAGGTAGCACTTAAAATACATAATGCATTTAGGGTTACATTTTCCACAAAAACCATCAAATAACAATCCACTCCCTGCCTGAACACCTGCACCCTCCCCACCAAAACCAAACACACACGCTGCACTCTCCTACAAACGTCACCTCAGGATCACGGACCATGCTGGTTTCTGGCTTCCAGCCTGTGGCATGGCTACATGGACTGTCTAGATTAAAACTGTAGCATTTTCATTCACTGCCTAGAGGACAAGGGAAAAGCAACGACAGATCCTCAGGTAAAAGGAAGAAAAAAGTCATCGAGGGGAGGTGCAGGGAAGAGGTGAAGGCAGTGAGATCCCACCCAGACCCACCCAGTGCTCACAGGGGCAGGAGAGGAAGCCTCAAGTTCTGCAAATGGGATAATCCCGGAAGCGGGGCAGAATCTACCCAGAATAAAGTAATTATTTTTAAGGAGGCAACGTTTGCGAGCTGAAATACTTAGTTCAGCCTTCTTGCTCAATGTAGGATTACTTTTGCAAGTTGTGTGAGCAGTAGCCTAGGGCTCCCTAGGCTTACCCAAACCTACAGAAGCTACACGGTTTTGCTCAGCAAAGATTTTTCTGCTAAAAAGAACAATTGTGAGTCAAGAAAAAAGGATGAAATTTAGCAAAAACTGAATAATATTTGAAGTTAAATTTGGGTTACCTGGAGAGGATTAAAACTAAAACAATAAATATAAGAAACGATTTCACATCTGAAGCAATTCCTGGCAGCTTGCCCTGCGGAGGCTGGAAGCGCCCTGATGGCTCAATGCAACGGCATCGCCCCAAGCACATTCCCAGCACAAACACCACCGCCAGCAGGAAAGAAGTCAGCGCAAGCATCACTGTTACCTGCCGGGCCCTTGCTGTACTTCTGAAGCTAAACTGGTCACAGCAGGGTGCTGGTGACAGCTCAGGAGGAAAACACAGGCGGCATTAGCTCTGAGCAGAACTTGGTAAGAAGTCGAGGCTGTGTCCCAAACTTCCATCGCCGCCGCCCATCTCATCAACTCCGTCTCCTGACATCCTGCCCTGACCAGTGTGTAACATGTGTCCAAAATCCTATTAATCCTGATTAAAGAGTGTGGCCTTGTGAATGCTGCTACCTACAGGTGTGCACAGGCACGCGGGGCCGAGTGCTGCGTGCGCGTGCCGGCCAGTCCAGCTAGTGGTTGCCCTTGGCCGACTTCTTCTTCTTCGTCTCCTCTTTGTGCTTCTGCTTCTTCCTCTTGCCACCTTCCTTGACCCCTACGGAGACACGGCTCGTGAGACACGGTGCAGAGCAGGGAGTGCTTCCGCGTTAAGAGGCAAACATGTTTTCTGAATACTTCCCCGTGTTAAGAAAAAAGGCACGTCACCTGTGTCGGCCACATCTGCGCCATGAAGACATGGATTGCCTTTCTAAAGTGCAGGCTGACGGCTGGGGACGCGGGCACAGCCCTGCAGTGCATGCACTAGAGCACCTGGGCCCAGCACTGCGGGAGGCTCCAGTTGGTCCTCCAGCCCATACCTCCCCGCAAGCTGAACTCTGCAGGGTTCAGCACAGCCAGAGCCCCTCAGATCTGAGGACAGCGCCTTCCTCAGTCCCTGTGCCATGTGCTGATCGTCAACAGCTACAGAACAAAGCCATGACCAAGCCAAGGAAAAAACACCTCTTTTGTCCAAAGCACCAGAAGTCACTGACTTCAGCTCCACAGAAACCATGTCTGGCTCAGTCTACACTGATGAAGGGCAGAAATGGGCCTGATGGTCAACTGGGGCAACAAGAAACCAGCATCTGGCTCAGCGCCTGTGGCTCAAGCGGCTAAGGCGCCAGCCACATACATCTAAGGTGGAGGGTTCAAATCCAGCCCGAACCGGCCAAACAATAATGGCTGCAACCAAAAAATAGCCGGGCGTTGTGGCAGGCGCCTGTGGTCCCAGCTACTTGGGAGGCTGAGGCAGGGGACTCGCTTGAGCCCAGGAGTTGGAGGTTGCTGTGAGCAGTGAAGCCATTGCACTCTACCCAGGGGGACAGCTTGAGGCTCTGCCTCAAAAAAAAAAAAAAAAAAAGAAAGAAAGAAAGAAACCAGCGTCAACAGCTTGACCGAGCAGCACTGGGACAGCCAACAGGGCACAGCGAGCCTGGAGCTCGGCCTGCCAAGAGACCATGCACAACCATCGCTGCGCCTGTACACCTGGGTCACAGGCCGCCACCCACTCAAGACCACCTCAGAGACACGAAACCACCAGGAAAACACCTAATCCATGCAACTGTATCCCGAAGCAGCGTCCCCTGTGTGGCTCACCCTGGTCACCTGCAGCAGTGGGTTATCCCACACTGCTCTGACCCTGACCCCCTCCATAGGGGACATGCACCTGCAGACCCAGTTGCACGCCCACAGGTGCAGACCCTGTCACATGCACACAGATCCAGTTGCACGGTGCACAGCTGCAGACCCAGTCAAATGGCACACAGCTGCAGACCTAAGGTCTCCAGCAGGCTGAGCACATCCCACCACCCCAGACAACACTGCAAACGCCACACTCCATCAAAGCCAAATATCAAAGCCATGGTTGGGAAAAGTTCCCCTGAATTACTACTATGGGAAGAAAGAAAGAAAGAAGACAGGGCTGGTCACTACAACCTTCCCCCAAGGCCATAGCAAAGGAGGCAGTCCCACCAGACTGGGGGCCAGACAGGCTGCATTTTGGATCCTAGGAGGCAACAGGACAGGAAAAGATAGTGGAAAAGCAGATGGGCCGCTCTGACTGTGAAACTGCACCCCTCCCCTTGTCACTCAGCGAGCAGTGGGCCCTGACCCTTCCAGAGTAACGAAGCTCCTCACTGTGGGTTTCTTTATAAGAAAAAGTGCTGAAGACTTGCTAATATAGCAACAAGATAACTATAGGGCCCTTCAAGCACCCAGAAGCCAGACCAGCAACCCTCTAAGTGTCAGACAAGGGGCCTCCTGGGCAGCAAGGCTGCCAGTGCTCAGCCCAGGAGTGTCCTGGGCAGTCTGCAGGGAGGAACCCTGCCAGCCTCCTTGCTGCTAGGTGAGTCTGCAGACATGCAAACCAATCTACCTTGCAAATTAATTCAAGTGCTCTCTTTCTATTCCAGCAGCTTCTTGAACCTTCCTTTAATCAGCTTTGATAGCTGTCATTAAAAATAGTTAAAATAAAGTCTTTGAAACTGGGCACAGTTGGTGCCTCATGCCTGCAAACCTACCACTCTGGGAGGCCATGGCAGGAGGATTGCCCAAGGCTAGAAGGTCAAAACCAGCCCAAGCAAGGAGGAGACCCTGTCTCTACTAAAGTATAAAACTTAGCTAAGTAGTTTGCACCTATAATCCCAGCTACTTCAGAGGATCACACAGGCCCCCAGGAGTTTGAGGCTACAGTGAGCTGTGATCATGCCACTGCATTTAGCCTGGGTAACAGAGTGAGACCCTGTCTCAAAAAAAAACTAAAAACCTTTAACATGGGCTCAGTACACCTGTAGCTCAGCGGCTACAGCACCAGAGCTGGCAGGTTCGAATACAGCCCAGGCCTGCCAAACAACCACAACTTCAACCAAAAAAAAAATAGCTGGACATTGTGGTAGGCACCTATAGTCCCAGCTACTTGGGAGGCTGAGGCTGCTGTGAGCTGTGATACCAATGTACTCTACAGAGGGCAACAAAGTGAGACTCCATCTCCAAAAAAAAAAAAATTTAACATGTGTTCACTATTATTTCTATGAAAACTGTGTCTTTAATTCTTGCAGTATTTAACTTTCATGCTCTTCAAGACCTCATAACTCAAAGGGAAGAAGGGAAGAAACAGGAGAAAAATGATACCCCTATGAAAGGACTAAAGATTATCTACAGCAGCCCCAGAGTCTGCCACAACGGTTTGCACTTGGATCCCTAAGTTAACTGGCCTCCCTCCTCCTCCCCCAAAAGCAGCTTGTTGGCCCCTGACAATAGGGAGAGCACTGTGGGAGCTGGTGTTAGAGCTGGTTCCGAGCCACTCTATGCCCCACCTCCCCAACCAGCTTCCCAACAAGCCCCTGATCTTCCACTGGATGGGTGTGGTCTTTGGGAAGCCACAGCAACAGTACCCACAGGACAGGGGACAGCCCAGTCTGGGAGTAATGACAGGGATGCCTCTGGACAGGCTGACCCCTCCTGCCTGGCGCCTGCTCCGCGGAGCAGCCCGTCATCTGCACACCTTATCCGAGCAGCCCATCACCTGGGGAATGACAGGTACCAAGCAGGCCACATGTGCAGTGTTCTTGCAGCCCAGACACCTCTAAGGTGTCTGTGCAATAAAACAGAATCTACCCCCTTGCTCTGCCCTGCACCTTGTGAAGAGCCTTCAATCCAATGTTACCCCCAGAACACACTAAGACCTTCAGAACCACCCCCTGGTCCCCTGCCTGGCTTTCTGGCCACACTCGGCCCTGCAGTCTGCCCCACAGGGAAGGGGACACTGTGCCCACCCAAGGCCAGCACAACCCACCTACAGGACAAAGCGTGCACTGGGCTCTTACGGGTGAGGGTGCATTTCCTTCTATCCCCCCAAAACCATGACAGGCAACTTTGGGTCATCTGAGAAGGACCAGAAAGGATCTTAAGGGATGGATTTTCAATAGGAAGTTGAAGGGCTCACCCCCATCTTTGCCACCTCCTGCTTAAAAGTGCTATTCGCTAAGTCCACAGAACCAGCCCTGTGGTCATCTTGGTTACTTCCAGCCGAAATGGGACAAGTGAGAACTTAGTCAGGGACAACTCTAAGGCACCCACCCTCAGAAGTGACCCAGGGGCCCACACCGCACCTGAGGGGTAGAGCTCAGCAAAAGACTCAAGACAGAGGCCTGAAGCAGACCGTGGGCAAGTGGCCAGGTCACAATCTCAAGCACTAGCGCTAAGTTACTAGAAGGAGCATGTCGGATGAAAGCAGCACCAGGCAGGCCTGGCCGCTCCGTCCTCCTCTGCCCAGACAATGCACTTCATACACACCCCAGGCAACAGGACCCAGGGACCCAGGTTTAATTGTGAGCCGTGCCAGACTGGGCCCGCCTCCTGGGAGCTGGGACAGGGTGAGCAGAAGGGGAGGTGCTGCCAGCCGGGCCTGCTCAGGTCAGCACACAGCAGCACAGGCTTGGTCCTTGCTCTCCTTCGGCCTCTGGAGGAGCAGCTGCCCTGCGCACACCTGCTGCAGACGTGGTGGCCTCCCAGGGCCCAGGGGTTCGCAGGCGCCCCTGCTCGCTGTCCTCAGAGGTGTGGGGGGGTGCGTTTTGCACTGAGGCCGGTCTCGGTGGCTTCAGCGAGCGGGTAGAGGTGGGCTGGGCTGGCAGGGCACTCTGGCCTCTCCGCATGCGCTCCTCCGCCAGGGCGTTCTCGTCTGCCACACCTGAAAGCACAGCACCGACAGAACCGTGAGCAGGTGGCCGGCACCCTCTCTCTGGCCGGTGAAGGGATCCCCGCCGCTGCCACAGCTCTGCAGGACAAGAAGGCTTTACCTCCCTTCGTCAGCAGGACCACAGGAGCCTGAGCTTCCTATGGGGGGACAGAAAGAGAGAGCAGCAGGAGCTCCCGGCCCACCCCCAGCACAGTCCCATCTTCTGTGTGCACGTCCCTTCACAAGTCACAAGTCCGTGGTGAGAATCAGCAAGCACCCTGGAGGGACAGGCTCACACCCAGGCGGCAGCTGGAGCCCTGGAACCTGGGGCAGGAACAAGCTTGCTTGGGGAGGGGGGCTTCCTGGCCCTGAGGCAGACTCGCTCTACCTCACACTCAAAGTTGTGTTCATTAATCCGGTTTTTAGAGACAGAGTTTTACTTTATTGCCCTTGGTAGAGTGCCACGGCATCATAACTCATAGCAACCTCCAACTCCTAGGCTTAAGCAATTCTCTTGCCTCAGCCTCCCAAGTAGCTGGGACTACAGGTGCCCACCACAATGCCCGGCTATATTTTTGTTGCAGTTTGGCCAGGGCTGGGTTTGAACCTACCACCCTCGGTATAAGGTGCTAGCACCCTACCCACTGAGCCACAGGCACTGCCCTGTGTTCATTAATCTTTTGAAAAATAGAAACTGGCTCAGCACCTATAGCTCAACCGGCTAAGGCACCAGCCATGTACACCTAAGGTGGCGGGTTCGAATCCCCAGCCCGGACCCGCCAAAGAACAATGACCGCTGCAACCAAAAGATAGCCGGGCGTTGTGGCGGGCGCCTGTGGTCCCAGCTACTTGGGAGGCAGAGGCAGGAGACTCGCTTGAGCCCAGGAGTTGGAGGTTGCTGTGAGCAGTGAAGCCATAGCACTCTACCCAGGGGGACAGCTTGAGGCTCTGTCTCAAAAAAAAAAAAAAAAAAAGAAAAACTGCACAGCAGATAGATACAAGGAATGAAAGAAAAAAACCCAGACTGCTCTCTGAAGGACCCTGCTTGGATTCTCTGGAGGTTTGTGGGCAGAGACACAAGCACAGCATCTCTAGAGCTCCAGGGCCAATAGCAGCAGACGTTCCCTGTCCCGGTAAACACAGCTCCAAGGAGTAGACGTCTGTTTCTCTCTGCATAAGTGACGGTCACTGATCACCTACTAGACGCCCTACACCCCGAGGCCAGTGGTCTGAAGGCCCTTTCAGGACACCCAAGCAAGCACTTCCCCCTGCAAGCGTGTCCAGCTCCCTGGAACCCTCTGAAAATGAAATGGTGAGACGTGTGAGTAAGGGCTATGACCCGGCCACACACCACTCACCATGAGACATGTGTGAGTAAGGGCTATGACCCGGCCACACACCACTCACCAGCTCTGGGCACTGGCAGCAGCAGTCCCACACCCCTGTGAAATCCCGCCCTCGGGCAAACAGTAGCAGCAGCTCCTCAACCAGTGTCCAGGAGACCAGGACAGTGGTGGCTGGGGAGGGACAGCAGCTAGAGAGATATCCCCCATCACATGCAGACACAGAGCCCATCTGTGAGGAGGCTGTGGGCCAGGGACCCTCAGAGGAGAGGGGCCTCCCAGAAGTGCCACAGCCCTGAACTCATAGGTGCCCACAAAGGGCTCAGATGTTTCCAGAATTCAGCACACTTAGGAGCCAGCAGGCCCTGACCTTCCCTTCTATCTACACCAATCTCCATACAAACACACATCTGATTTTTGGAGCCATTTAACCAAGTGCACAGACCTTTAGAGGCCCTGTTAACACCCACCTGGCTCATCCTGCCAGAGCCCCCAGGAACCCCAAGACCGCTGCACCAGAGAACACCAGATCTGCCCACTGTGCACTGGGGCAGCCTGGGGACATCGTGTGCTTACCTGCAAAGGAACAGCTGGCCGGGCAGGTGCCTGCGGCGCTGCACCACAGACGGCACTCAGCAAGTACGGCTCTGAGCGGGTATCGGACACACGCATACACAGGGGTCCTGAGCATCCTCGGTGGCGGGAAGAAACCCATGGAGGTTTCCAGAAGGTCCGGGCCCCAGCTGAGAGAGCACTAGGAGCAGCCCCTAGGTGTCTGTGACATCAATAGCCAGCATTGCACTTACAACAAACCAAATGCATTCCCCGGCCACCAAGCCCTTTCCCTTTCCAAGAGAACAGGCTCTGAGAAAACGGCGTACCAGGCATACTGCTTCAGTGTATGACTTCCAAGACTCATTCTGGAATTAAGAGATGGTGGAAGGACCATCGTGGCTCCCACCTCAGCCCCATGGCAGCCCCACAGGCCCACCAGGGAAAAACTCCCAGCCCCAGACATGGGTACCTGCCTGGCTACTCTCACAGACATGAACTTTCCAGAGTTGGCCAGGCTGTCTCTGGCCTGTCCCAACAGTAAGTCTGTAGGGTTGTCAGAGTTCTACTTCTCCAAGGGTGACTAACACTTGACCAAGTTTCAAGTATGGGACACACTGAAAGGACCCTCTGTTCTCTGGAGGTGGGCTGAGCGTCCTGGACCCTGCTGATCAACTCTCCACTTGGCTTACTGCCCTAGTCAGCACTGGGACTCCTGCCAGGGACAGTCAATTCAGACACTGACTGAGGAGGGAACCCAGTCTCCAGCTCTCTGCTGTCCATAGCCCTGCAATTTCAGCACAGCCACCTGGTGTGGGAGGCTGCAACCCTTTCTGTATGAGTCCTGCTGGTCAGCCTAAGGTCACTCAAAGCTGCCTACCTCCCCAAACCTAGGACTGCCTTCCAGGGCTGCCCTGTCTGTAGTTGTATTTTCTGTCTGTTTAGAGACAGTATAACAGTATAACCTAATTGTGTGTACCCTCCTATCAAGCTGAAATTTTATTTAAAAAAAAAAAAGTCACTACGATGTTAATCCTGATTATTTTGAAAACAAATCCAGCAAGTGCTCAAATATTGAACACAGACAAATGCAGTGTTTAAGCTACCTGCCTGTCTCTCAAGGCCTACAGGTGTGCATGTTGTCACTTGACTGGAGAGGCCGGGTAAGGCTATACTTGTCCTCTCTCTACTCACATGGGAGGGAATGTGTGAACCTTGTTCCTTAAACTTGCCTCAGAAGGCACTGGCTGGAGCTCAGGCCTCCCCACACCCCTCAGGCAAGTTCCCCTAGCAACTCCACCAACAGTGGTCATTTTGACCCTACTATGCCCAGTGACCACCAGCCTGATGGGGCTCTCAACCTCTTGGTTCCTCCCAGAC